CATGAAGACGCTGCAGAAAGAATGAGTGAGGAGCTGATGGTAAGCATGGAAGAGACCTGCCGGCCTGAGGGCTTGGTGCCTCCAGGCCGCCTGGGGGTGCCGTACTCCGAGGCCTGGGGATACTTTCACCTGGCCCCGTCGCGACCCGGGCACTGGTCGGGCCACTGGGCCACCTGCCGGCTGTGCGGAGAACAGGTGAGGTGTAGCCTGGGCTTCCACGCGGGGACTCCGGTGCTATGGAAACACCTGAAGAGCGCGCACCAGAGAGAACTGGATAAGAGCTGCGTTCGCCGCGAGTCACCCGTTGTCCCTTGCCCGCCTCCCCATGTCGCCCCCATCGCGGCCGCCGAGGGCGACTGGGCGCGCCTGTTGGAGCAGATGGGAGCGCTGGCTTTTCGCGCCAGCCGGCGCGAGCGGGAGCTGGAGCGGCGTGAGGCAGCGGTGGAGCAGGGCGAGCGCGCACTGGAACAGCGGCGCAAGGCGCTGCAGGAGGAGGAGCGCGCTGTGGCCCAGGCGCGGCGGGAGCTGCAGGCGGAGCGGGAGGCTCTGCTGCGGGAAGTGAGCCGTCAGGAATGCGCTTTGAGCCTGGCCCCAGTCCCGGCGCAGACTCCACTCAAAGAGGAAGCGGATGGGGAGAGGGAGGATTACATAGTAACCAAAATCTTCCTGTAGAGTTGGTAACCACCAGTGCTGCTTCAAAGGTGGGCATTACCTGCATCTCCAGCATCACCTGGGAGCAGAACTTCAGGCTCCACTGCACTTCTTACTCAATCAGAATCTCCAGATGTGGGCTCCTTCGGGTGAGGCCCTTGGGAAGCCAGAGCAGAAAGTAAACTGTTTCTCTCTCTAGTCACCTGTTGGTGCCTGAGAGCTTAAACTCTAGCAGCCTCCTTTGATGTTGGTGTTTAGTGGGCATACTTGCAAGTAGAGTGGAATGCCAGGGAAACCCATTCTTCTGCTTTTGGGAATGAGAACTCCTGTAGCCCCTTAGAATCTGGATAACCTGGTCCCATGACCACTTAGGGCCCAGAACCATTTACTTTGTGATTTTTGAAGGACAGAAGCTTTTTCATACACCAAAGACTGCAACCGCATCATGTGCCTGTACACCAGCCAAGTCAGCCCAGGGTGGAGGGTGGAGGGTGGAGGGTGGTGCGTGGAAATGAGAACAAAACTTGGGCCTGGAACCTTACCAAGGAAAAAAATAAATTTCTCATTTCCCAGTGCATAGTTTTGGTGCAGCACTAAGTTCTGAAAACTGGACTAGTAGTTGCCATGACTGTTCTCTACCCTCATCATCTCTAATCCCTCATATCCTCACTCTGCCAATGCAGACACTTGAATCCTTCCAGCAAACAGCAGGTCCACCCTGGCATCTTTTTTCTCCTTTTAGACCCTATGACAACTGTTGTCATTTCCCCACTTTCTGCCTTACCACCACCTTCCTTCCTAACAAGATACAACCCCATCACCACTATGCTAGGATGGTTCCTTCCCCATTTGCCTTTACAGTTTTCACTTTTGGGCCAAAGCAGCACGCACTCCTCCCATCCAAGGCCGCCTTTTCCTCTCATTCCTTTTCTACCTTCATTAGGCCCTTGCTCCATTAGATAGCTCTCTTTTCCTCTGTTTCATTCCCTCACTTTCCTCAGTCGCCCTCAGGCTGAAAAGACTTGCAGCCTCGATATTTTCAGCTGAAGATCATCTAAGGTCAAACAGTCTTGGCTGCCCATACTTCCCCATTTTACTTACTGTGCCACCCCACCCCCAGCAGGCTTCCATCTTACACTGGATTCTTAAGACACCACCACAATCTCCCAGTCACCAAATAGGATTTACTTTCAACCTTCATTTTGCTTAATTTCTCCTTTACTGAAATTCCTCCTTTGGTTAGTGGAACTTGGTTTTTTTCCAAAAAAATTTCTTTTCCTGATGTAGGCTGGTTTCCAAATACTTTCCTCAGACCTGTTTTTTCTAATTTCTTCTGTAAGGAAAAACTTCAAGCAATCAGAAAGTTGAAACTAGGAGTATAATAAATACCCATATACAGCCTTCACCTAAATTGAACAATGGTTAACATTTTGCAATGTTTACTTTTTCTTACTTCCACCACATGTGCATGCATATGACACATAACCCCCAAGTATTTAATGTTCTACATAATCACAGTATATTTTCATATATAAAAAATGTAATTCCTAATAACTTCTAATGTGGAGTCCTTGACAGAGTCAAAATTCCCCAGTAGTCACAGAATGTCTTTTTATCTCTCTTATTTTTAAACAGTCCAAGTAAGGTTCATACATTATTTTTGGTTATAATTCTTTAGTCCCTTTTTGCTTAGAACACTAGACTCAAACATAGCAACAACTGTGAGGATGGCACAGGACCAGGCTGTGTTTTGTTCTGTTGTACATAGAGTCTCTATGAGTAAGAACCAACCTGACAGTGCCTAACAATAGTCTAGAACATCCACT